ACAACGAAATGTTGTTATACCCTGTAAACTTTTACGATGTATCAAAACAAGTTATAATCGCTGACGGTAGCAGGCAGCTGTGTTAGCAAATAACGCATATAGTTTATTCTTGTCAATGTATCTTTCCATATCGCTCTTTAAAAAGCTAACATTAAGAAAGATATGATTCCTTCGCACAAAACGGATAATTATCGTTTATCAACACACATTTATACATATCTCTAGATATATACCGCTACCTCTTTCTTCAAAGAGCTAAGCTTGAGAAATATATATTTGATTTCCGATAAATTTTTCCCGTTTGCACAAAGCCGATAATTATCGATAGCCAACACACTTATGTATACCATTTCCCTATGTATATATATAATGTTGGTCAGCCTGCCTCTGCTTGAGCAATATATATTTGATATCGATAACTGTTTTCCGTTTGCACAAAATCGATAATTATCGATAACTAGCCCACTCTTTTCAAGTAGATCTCAGACTTAGTTTAAGCGAATAACATAAAATTTCGTCGCATTCACTCAATTCGCAGGGTAACTAATAGTCGAGCACCCTTGACTAAAGCACAACTACTTGCTATTGTTGTTGAATTGACAATATAGTTACTTACTTGCCGTGCCTGGGCCAAGCATAAAGCGAATGCCATTGACAATTGTGACTATTGGTGCTTTCCGGTCGGGCTAACTGGGAATTGAGTTCTCAGCTATCAGGTAACCGAAATGCAGCTGCAAATAAGTCAACTGTCCGATTGTATCTTGGGCAGATAATAATCGCTGGCCTCTAAAGAAGAACGATTCCCATGAACCTCCAAGATAAACGATCAACTTAGTTTATGACAATGCGAAACTCAAAGATTTTGCTAACCCCTTGCGCATTCAGCACATTTTATACGGAATTTACGTCTTACATGAAGTGTGAATCATTATTTAAAAGAGCATAGATCAACTGAAAGGTGAACGTATATATATACCTATGTTCTTATGTATATGTTATATCGATCTTTAAGGGAAATCCTAGTCTCAAATGCTTGGCAAAGTTCATATAATCAATCGAATTGTATTTTTGAAAGCAGAAACCTGGGCTCAAAGGTTAACTTCAAACCCTGTATTGCAAACCTATTATTATCTAAATATTTTTTTTATAATTTCTCCAGCTTATCTTAAATTCCTATCAAGTGGGTTTATTTACAATTCAAGTCTTGATTTGCTCAACAGGTAATATTATATTTTATATTAGGGTGAATTATATGTAAGACTGGGATTAAGCGCAGCTCGAATCTTATCTCAAATCCGAGAGTCAATTGCTGTCTGAGGTTAATAGATTGTTACTCTTCTATTGAGGCATCATTAAATATCTTGAGCTTAGTATCCGAATTTCATTTACTTTGTATATTTATCTTGAGCACTCGCTCGTAGGTTTTTTAGGCAAACATTAATCACTTTTGTTTTTAGCTATTGATTAACTGCCTGTGTATATTTGGTTTTTATATTTTATATGTTGTCTGAGTGTTCGATTTCCAATTTGGCAAAAATGTGTGTTTGCACCCGCACACACACACACACACTCGCACACCTGTTTGCTCACATTGTGTAGCTCTGGGAACTGCTGAAAAAAGGCTTTAAAAATGCGCTGGCTGCATGAATGGCAATGGGATTGCAGCCCAGACAGGCGGACTCTGCTTTCAACTCCGTCCGTCTGTCTGTCCGTCCGGCAAATGTAAATAAATGCAAAAGCAACTCACAGAGCCTCCGCATCATGGGACAGGGAAAGGGACAGGCACAAGGGCAGGGACAGGGCCGGGGGCAGGGGTAGGGACATAGTTTTGCATGCATTTCGGGCTGCATAGTTTTTGTTGAATGGATTCGGTCCAAAATGTGCAACATGGCAACAAAAGGGCGACAGCTGCCGCTTGGAAAACTCATTGAACAATCGACCAAATCGAAGCCCCGACTCGCATACAATAAATGTGGCACTGCCCTCCGCTCCTGCCTCTGCCCCTGCCCCGGCCATTGCCGCTGCCCCTGACCCTGACCCAGACCTGATGCTCGCAGCGTAACAAAAAGATTAAAATGCATGAAAACGACCAAATGAGCTGAGCCTAGAGAGATACAGCATTTAGCATGCCAGGGCCCGATCTCAGGCTCAGGCTCAGGCTCATCCTTATCCTCATTCTCATCCACATCCACATTCACATCCAAGCACTGAATGCCATTGTCCAGTTGGCCCGCCCAAAAGGCATCTCTTATTAATTTGCTTAAGTGCCATAAATGGCAAAAACTGTGCAACACAAAAGGATTTGAATTTCCTACCATTTTTGCCCATTGTCGCCATTGGCCGCCCAGCTGGAGATTTTACACGTACGCCCAATGTGACCAAGACGAATTATCCAAAAAAAAAAATAAAATTAAATAAAAAGGTAAATGGAAAAAATGTATAGCAAAAACCGATGCTCAAATACACTTGCACAACTCATTGATGCCCTCTTGATCCCAACAAGTAGAAACCCAGAAATGAATTTGGAAAAAAACCAAGACGAAATATGTTTGTAAAAACTTTGGATTTAGGAAGAGTTATAAGTTGTATAATAAACTCTAAAAGATGGAACTCAACATTTGTTGTTTTAAAATGCATTTCCCACAAACGCATCACAAAAGCAAAAATCAATATAAACTTTGTTGCATCTGATGCAAATATTCCTGAATTAGGCACGTTTCTCTCACCTTGGATCGAAATTATAAAATGATTTCTCATGTTGGGATCAGCAAATGCCACATTTTATTGGGCTCACAAGCTCAAGCGTGTAACGAGCTCATGTGGCAACAGCAGCATGAAGTTGACGCGTCATGCTGATTAGTAGCCACAGTGTGACAAACCTCTTGAAAAAGTCATTATGCACACACGTGGGAGAGCATCTGTGTTGTCTGCTCTGAAGTTATATGAGCTGTCTGCTATGTGGGAAAGGGCAACAAGTTGCAACTTGCAACAACTGCAACTGTGACATTGAAATTGCCGCCTGCTCAAGAGGTGTAAAATGAGAGTGAGATAAAGAGCGAGAGAGGTGTAGAGAGAGAGAGAGGTAGTGGCTGCTGATTTATGTTTTAGGCTGCCCGTTTTGACCTTTTGGGCGCATCGCATTTCAGTTGCCGCTTCGATTCTAGAGAATTTGTTACAGCCAAGCAGCCATAAAATGATAGGGCATCTACAGGACAAAGTCGACTGGCAGCAGAGACAGACAGTCTGACAGAGACAAGAGACCCGGAGAGAGAGAGAGAAAGAGAGAGAGAGAGCGAGAGAGAGCGAGTGAGAGCTAGCAGAGCTTGTTTTCCTTAATTAAATACAATCGACAACTCTATTGGAAGCTTGGTGCCAGGCTGGCAAGTCAAGTCTGTCAACTGGAAATCAGTAGCGCATATTTTGCGCATTTAAAAATCATTAATTTGAATTAGCCCTGGCGCTGTAATTAAGGCGGGCGCGGCTGCAACAACAGCGGCAAGCAGCGCAGCACAGAGTCCACGATTTCTCAGAGACTGAAAGATAAACAAACAAATGCAAATGCAGCAGCAACAAGAGCCCAAAAGTTAAACAAAACATATTGCCGCACTTGGAGGCCATGTGCACCAAGTGCGCACCGCTGACATTTCAACACCACCAGCTACAAGCTAACAGCTACCAGCTACCAGTTCCAGCTACCCGCTACAGTGGCAGCAGCAGCAGGCTCCTCCACCAGCTCCTCCTTCTGCTCCGTCTAATGACAAAGCGCGCAGAACACAATCCAAATGCAAAGCGCAGCCGAATGATCTTTTGAACTGGCAACCGAATCCAAATCCAAATCCCAATCCCAATCAAAACAAAGATCAAAACCAACAACAAGCGGTAGCCCAGCCAGACACTTGAGGTCGACGTCGACGTCGACGTTGATGTTGACGTTGACGTTGACGTAGGCAGCGGACAGCGAGCAGCGGGCGGCTGCTTGCCAGTAGCAACAACAACTGAGCCCTGTCCCTCTCTCTCTCTCTATCCCTCGCTTCATGTCTTGGTCTTGGCAGTACCTGCGAGCTGCATTTGTTGTTGCTGTTTAGCTAGCTGCTAGTTTGTTTATCTAACCTACACACAGATATACACACACACACACGCTCACATGCTGGGCGTCTTTTTCGACACCAACAACAACACTCAATAGAACTTTGTTGCGCTTTTTCACAAAGTTTTCTGGTTGCCTAACAATTAAATTATTGTTAAGCCTCGCGCAATGCGTCATAAGAGAGAGTTCTCTGAGTTTGGTCAAGAACTTAATTTTAAACCAATTGTTTCTATGGCAACTACAAGTTATAACAATATAATGAGATGCCTAAAGATAGCTACTAAACTAATAAATAAACAGACTTGGCTAATTCGACTCATGTCCTTCTCCCATAAGGCTAGAAACTGGGCTTAAGCCCAACGAGTCCGTAACTATTTATTATTTATTTTACTACCAATCAAACCCTTAACTAAAACACAAACTAACCCAAACTGCGATCTGGTTCAAAATGAAAAAGTCCAAAGTTCATGGAGTCCCAAACATTTCAATTATGGAACAATATTTCAATTTTGAATAGAGATCAATTAATAAAGCGAAACCTGGTTAAACTGTTGTGTTAAACCGAGCCTATAGGCAGGGAGTTGTTTCGAGCTATGAATCGAACCAGCGACATTTCTTTTTCTGGTTCTAACAGGACTCTTTTCGTAACAAAACTACAAGGGCATATTACAAATGATTCAGTTGCATTTATAGATAACTATCTAATAAGTTTTGTTTTTTTTTTTTGTTTTCCCAATGCTTTTGGAAAGTGTATGCCCACTTCGTTGTCGTTGTACTTAAAATATTCTTCTATTCGACTTTTACTTATTTTGTTTTTATTTTTGGGCCACTTTTTGTGTGTGCTCGGGCGACTTAATTAGGAAACTTGGTGCGTTTTATTTATGTGTCTTAACGAGTCGTTTATTTAACTCACCCTCGTTTGTTGTCCCGCTCTAGCCTGTTCGCGTGGAAAACTAACATCAAATTGAAGCTGAGCACACAAACATTTTGAAAATTTGTTTATTGTTTTTCTTTGGGGTCCTCCGCACAGCCTCCGCGCCGCGCCGGGCTGCATTTCACTAATTTGGGAGAAAAAAAGAGCAGAAATCGAAATCGGAATTTGAAATTAAAAGCAAAAGGCAAAATACCATGTATTTGAGAGTCCAAGTGGAGGCTCGATTCGTTTGAGGCAAATTGAAAATAATTTTGTACCTTGATTTAAATAAGAAAACAAACGGGCAATACACACACACACACACACACACACTTACACAGACAGACGAAAAGCAATTCAACGAAAAACTAAACATAAATTCTCACAATGCCGATCTGGGCTTCACTCAGCCCCTTATGAATGTGTGTGTGTGTGTGTGTGTGCGTGTGTGGGCCATGAACTTTGTTTTTTATTAGCGGCAGGATATCGGCATCGCCTTCTCTATATATATTTATATGTTAATTCGTTTGTCTTAATTGGAAAACAAAACCTCAAAAGCAACAACAACAAAAGCAGCAACAACAACAACAGCAACTGCAACTGCAACAGACAGCGGCAACAACTACAACAGAATTCCACAATGTGGCTGAGCTAAAAATTTATTTTTAAGCAGACATTTTTGTGTATTTATTTATTTATTTTGCCGCTGGCAGCAAACAATTTGTAATCGTTGTTTCTGCTGCCTGCCTGCCGTTGACAAGGAAAATGTTGCAGCTGCGGCACGCGAAAGCTGCAAGCAGCTCGCCCCGTGCAACGCCTTGCCTTGCCTTGCCTTGCCACGCCGTGCCGCGCCTCGCTGTTGTCGCCTTAATTGCAGTCGCAAGGAAGCGGCAAAAATATGCTCATAGCTTTTGATGGAGCCAACAGCAAAACAAGTGGCAAATGCCAGAGGTCGATTGTGGGGCGATATCAAAACGAAATGCTACAGAAATTTGTTTTTGTTCTGGAGATGTTCAATGGAGCTCGTGATCCATCGCACTGATTCAAATGAAGCATGCATCTGTCTGTCTGTCGCGTTATGAGGCGACTGGCGTCTTCTCTTAACTTATTTTTGCATTTAGTTCATATATATATCATATTATCATATCATATTTGAAAGCTTCATACTTGGTTGATGATTTGAAAAAATAAAGCTATCAACTAGAGTTTTAGTTCAGGGCGTTCCACGAGCAACTAGGTCATTACAATTCAAAGTTCTTCCTGCTAGCCCTAATAGATCTCGAGTTCGCATAGTTAGTCGAATAAGTGGATGGTATATTTTGCTCAATCAAACGAATGTTCAAAGCGGAATTCGCGAATATCTTTTAAGTAGAACAGTTCGGTTTTCAACAAATCTCTTTGGCTTGGCGCTAATTGTCAGGCAATTAGCCGTTTTCTTGTTCTAGCACTGATATTATAATTGTAATACTTAATAACGAGGCCTCGCCAAAAATATAAAGAGCCTAATAATGAGTGCCTGTGCATACATGTAAGTCGGAATAGATGCAGATGAGAGTGCTGATCCGAAGCAATGGCATCCACAACAATCGGCAATGGATTTCTGAGTATTATGGGCGCTTCCAGGGAAGAAAGTGCGAACAATTTATATGGGCATAAAACAAAAGTTTAGAATCAACGGGAAATTTTATGACTACTTGGGGGCATTTAAGCCGAAAATGTTTATAAATAAGATGCAAACACACCAGCCCGAGTACCAAGTACCAATCCACCAAACCAGGTCACTTGGAATAGGTCAACGCATACTTTGAAATCTTCAAAATATGTGCCGGGTCTGAAGATTGAAATGAATTATGCATATGCGTCTGTTTGATAGGATCCAAGACGAACTGAAGCGAAAGCTGCTGCCAGATTGTGCACATAAAATGAATTTCACAAAAACGGAAATGTTGAGTAGCTGCTCGGCTAATACTCGAACAATGCCCAGCAAACGAGGAAATAATAAAAACCAAATGTGTTGAATATATGCAAGCTTGATGATATGATTCAACTACCTCTGTCTCGCTCTCTCGCCCTATATATCTCTCTCTCTCGCGCTTCTTTTTATTGACTAAAAGACTTTTGGCATTTCGCATTTTAGACTTGACTCCGGGAACAATCAGTTGTCTTTGTTTTTCGCAAAAATTATTAATTACCAGCGCATGCACGTAAACAAAAATGTGTAAATCGACCACTTTTGATAAATCACAGACTAACACACACACGCGCGCGCGCGCACATACACATTTGCATACCACAACTGAACATGGCCACAAACACCAAAACAATTTTGCGATGAAATTGTCAAATTGCAGCGCAAAAACGCAAAAGCAGCAACCGCAACCGCAAACGCATACCAACATAGCGCGAGCAGCAGCAGCAAGAAGGAGGCGGCAGACAATCATGCCACATGCCACATGCCACACAGCCCCCCTCCCCCCCCCCCCCTGGTACCACCCCGCCCTCGCCAGAGCGTTAGTTATCGCTGCCATTGAGCCACATTCGCATGGACACGAAATTCACAATTTTGGTAACTGAAAATCAGAGCGAGGCAAACGCAATCAATCATAAAACGATGAAATGTCGACGAGCGCGAAGGCAAGCAAATTGAAAACGCTGCGAGGACACGGCCAAAGGACAACGGGCAACGGACATGGACATGGACCCGGACACGGACATGACCATCAGAGATTGGACAGTTGACACTAGACACTGGACAGAGCCCAGCACATTGAGTACTGAGCAAGCGATGGCAATGGCCAAAGTCAACGATAAAACGATTTTAGCTTTCTCGGCTTGCTCTTCCTCTTCTTGTTATACCCTTGCCTTGGGCCAGACATCTGCGGTCGCATTGGTTCTATATGTCGAAAGCTATCCTAATCATAAGTAATATCCATGTCGCTCGAGTCAGTTGAGTATTGCTTGAGTATGGAGCTTTAGGCGCAGCTTAAAATTTTTAGATAGTTTAAGTTTAAGATTTGAACCAGCCTCCTGTCTTTGGCTACGGTTCGTGTACGTAGGTGTTGGTTCATATATTCCGTGAGTTTATTAAATTTATAAATTGCCCGTTCTACTGAAAATATGACAACCCGTAAATATTACTTAATGTGGTTGGAGCTGAATCGTCTACAAAAGATTTTCTAATCCAACCCAAGCCGAGCTTCACCCAGAAGAGTTCAATTGATTTCAATAAGGGTTCGGCTTATATTAAAGAAAATAAGTAGATATTCCAGTTCACTTCAGCCTTGGTCTTATGTGTGATATGCCTGAAAGGGTATTTGAACTTCAGCGAACCCGAGGATACCACAGCTACTTCCTTTTATGCCTGCATCGACAAACTGTCAATCGCTTTAGCCATTTCCCCTCTTAGCCATGGCCCTAACGTGTTTAAGCTGAAAGTTAAGCGCCTCGTATAATATGTTTAACCCTGGGCCAGTTAATTAGTGGGCACAGCTGATGATGCAGATGCAGCTACAGATATGAATACACACACAGATACAGATACAGATACAGATGCAGATACAGATTGAGATACGGCTGGCAGCTGACAATTTGATTGTGCTGTGGCTGGCTTTTTGGGTTCACTTATCAAATTTAAACTTAATTACCAAACGCGACGCGTTGCGTGGCTCAGAGAACGCCCGGGCCACAAAAATCGTGGCCTAATGAACAGTTTTATGCATAGTTTTAAGACGCGTTTTGTAATCTCTGTGAGTGAGATTTACACGAAATCGAAAAGGCTGAGCCATAAATCAAGTTGCATTCGCAGTCAGCAGCCAAAAAGTGTGTCATTAAAATTAATTATCTAGCATTTTTTAACACCGAACTATGGGAAGGGATCCGCATCCGCGGCCAAGCCCATTCGGCCCTTCGGCTTGGCAATTAGCCACACGCCGTGGCAGAGCTTTTCCATGTTTTATTCTAAATATTTGCACACAGAGCTCTTCAGTTGACGCTTCTTCATACAGCACCTGCACACACACACACACAAACACACGCACACATTCGAAAAAAATATATGCATGTGTGTGTGTGTATGTGTGCATACATAGGAACCAATGGCCCCGACAAGTCGGCTGCTCTCAAATATTTGCGCTGACATAACTTTGTCTGCGGCTGGCGCGCGCCTAGCGCCTGAGAAGCGCAGAGAGGGGCTCTGTGGACAGAGCAGCAGACGACAGGCAGCCGCTTTGTCTGCGCCTCACAATGTGTGAAAGATAATTATAACATGTGTGTGCACACACTCACATACAGTTGACTTGCATGGATTGGTGGACAGTTGTAGAGTTGAGGCACGCTTCAAGTTTTTTCTCTTTTTTTTTTTTGTTTGTGTAGCCACAAGCTGCAAGCGTCGGCCTTTGCCATTGACAGCTCCAAGTTGGACTTCAACTCGAACAAAGCTGACGATGGGGAGCTAAAGATGCCAACACAGCAGACGTCATCGAATGTCAATAGCAAAATTGTTTGCCAAAAGCAAAACATGAAGCGATAGACAAAACTAAACATGCAACGAATTCCAAATGCCCTAACTTGTAGATATTGGAATGAAATGTAAATAATTTATAAAATAATTATCTACTAAGGCTGAACTTCCAGCTGAGCTAAAGGTTAAGCACCGAGTCGAAATGCTGGTTGAGCAGGTTTGTGATGTTAAACAAATGCGAGCTCAGTTATTTATAATGATTGTTAAATAAATTATTGCTGCTACCTTTTAACATTGAGCTGAAATGCAGAGTATTAATGTGTCTGTTACACGCTATTATAAAAAATGCCAGCTAAAGGGAGCTACCGAAGCGAGTAGGGTATAAAGAGCATAAAGCTATGCCAAAGTCGTGGATGGTTCTATTCCAATGCTGATGATGGCTCTTAAAGCCGTTCAAACAAATCGTCGTATAAATTATGCAATTGAAGCCAATGTCCCGCTAGAAAAATGACATGCCTTGGCCCCATCAATGCCAACAGCAGCCACTCAACCCTCCACCCGCCATCCTTCACCCATTTCCCAGTCCAGCTGGAGGCCATCTCGTGCTTAGGTTGCGCATTGTCGGAGGATTTGCGTTCCATTTATTTCCATTTAACGCATTTGCCAAGTTTAAAATGGGGCGTAATAAAGCCATTGATGGTAGTTAAGAGATAGTTAGGCAAATGATATACATATATTATATGTTCATCCAGCCAGCTCCTTCTAATTGATCAACTATCTCGCTCTCTCTCTCTCTTTCTTTCGCAGTGTGCAATTGCAATAATCATGCGCGTCAATGTCGCTTCAATATGGATATCTTTCGCATCTCGCAGGGCGTCTCTGGCGGCGTCTGTCAGAACTGTCGACACTCGACCACGGGACGCAATTGTCATCTGTGCAAGGAGGGCTACTATCGGGATCCCAGCAAGCCGTTGAATCATCGCAAGGTGTGCAAAGGTAAGTCAACTGTGATGAATTGCCCCATCTGCTATATATTCGAATGCTACCCCCCGGGGGCCGAGTGGGCATTCCGTTAAGCCAAAAGCGTGCAAGAAATTCCAGAACGTGTCGGAAAGGCGCTACTTAAAATTTAATTAACTGTTGCCACACTTGGAACAAAAGAAAAACAAACAAAATTCCTCCCCAATTCACACTAATTAGCCCAAATTATGTCCATAACTCGTAGAGAGCCAACTTTATCAGAAATGCAATCCCTTTCAAGAACGACCTTTAAAAATATTCCAAATAATTTATGTAACCGATAAATTTGCTGCGTTTGCCAATCGATGGGCAGTCAAAAACTGAGAGCGCGATTTAAAAAGCCCAAAAGACAAGAAAGAATAGTCGACACTGACCGACCGCCAGATACCCTGTACACGGATCTAAAGGAGCTTAGTTTAGTGTTTATATAATTTTTGTTTGCCTGCAATAGTCGAAAACGCGCTCATATCGATAAATCAAATATAATCGATATGTTATCTATATATCTCCAATCTCTATCAATCAGGTATATATGTACATATATCTGTGCTGCAAGCGGAAGGGTTATGATATGTTACATATAGATGTGTACATATTACTTAGACGATTGATATACCCTAAAGATATTATGGCTACAGGGTATAATCAGAACGAGCATTGGCTCAACAGGAACTGGGCAGTGTGGTCAGCTAATTTATGAGCTGGCAATAATTTTCACGCGTCGTCTAATCAACTCGGCCAAATAAATTGGTTGAACAGAAACAACAACAACGACAGCAACAACAACGACAACAACAAGAGCAGATGGCTGGCTAAAAACAAAACTAGGCAATTACTATATTTAGCCCACATATGCATATAGAAACGAATCTATATCCATCTAACTGTGCGTTTCGTATCAGAACTGACGTCCGCATAACAAATTTTCAATATTCGTTTTTGGCCAATTGCAAATTGAGTTTTGTAAACAAACAAAAAAGGTGCTTAAATAGCACAAGGAAAGAATAGAAAAAAAAAGAAATAACAAACAAAATATATTATTTCCTACAAATAAATTGTTGTGCATGTAATTGTTGCTGTTGTTGTTGTAGTTCCTGTTCGGCTCGGCTGGTTGCCGACCCCCGCAGCTGCGAATTGCGCATACGCCGCGTGTCCCATTTGTCATCATTTCTCAAAAGACGTCGCTGCTGCTTTAGCTGCTGCTGCTGCTGCTGCTGCTGACTAAGCATCATAATTCTGAAAAGCCGTTAAATCCATATCAAAATCTTATCGATTTTTAATTAATTATACAACGCAGCGCAAACAAATCCAGCAACAACAACAACCAAATTTACAAGGCCAGCCAAATGCGCACATCATAAATAAGTCAAGTAAGCATCAACACACACATACTCACACACACACTCACACACACACACCTAAAGCCTTGCTGTGTTTAATCGTCGGCGGCTTCTCTTTGCAGAATTTTGTTTTATTCTTAAAATTTTTGTTGGTTTTTTATTTATTTTATTTTGTTGTCTTTTTTTTAATTTTTGTTTTTGTTTTATTTGCGCAACGTCGAAAGAAATTTATTCATTTTAATTTTGACACGCGTGCAATTTGTTTAAACATTTTTGCATTGTGGTTTTCACATTTGTTCTCATTGTTGTCCAGCCCGTTCTCATTGTTGTTGCAGTTGTGGTTGTTGCGTGCTGGCAGCATGTTTTACGTCCTGCTTGGTTTTGGCTTGGGTTGACCATTTGGCGAGGTTGCCTTTCAATTAGTCAACTGTCTGGCGTTGACTTGACCTGCCGGCAGTCTTAATGCAACATTTGCGCCGCATTACAAGCGCGAGTACTTCAGATCCAGATCAAGTGCACCGGGAATAGCATGGGAACAGCAGCCGGTTGACGCAATATACCCCAATCTGGCCCACTAGAACAAGTGGCTCGCATTTCAATAAAAATTCTTTGATGCATGCGAAATGATAATTGAGTTTGGCTTTTCGAAAGCCATTTGCAGAGATAAATACTTCTAGTATAGTATATACCTTGAAAAGTCTGCATAAATCAGTCGATGAAATCGCATCAATTTAATATCAAAGATTTGGGCAAAGCAATTTGCAAACATTTTCCTGAGAACCAAAAACAAGCACAAGGGCAGCAGCTAAAAGCTTTTTAGCTGGAAAAATGCGAGGAAACAATTTCGCCAAGATGAATTTCTTCAGAATATCTAGAATAAAACAACTAAAACGGACAAACTACGTAGATCCTCAGCAAATACATTATTGAGCAAGCACTTCTCACATATGATGAGCACTCGTACCAAGAAACAAATTTGCCAAAATGAATTTCTAAAGAATGTTTTGCTGCAAGAAATCAGTTTTGAAAGATACTTAAAGGGGAAACTTTTCATAAGTAGAAAAACAAATAATAAGTAACTATATTATGGATATATAGAAACTTCTAACGTGCTGCATTTAAATTATATTAAATAGCTTTATAAAAGAGCTCGAGCAATTGTAGTTTCATTTTAAAATTAAATCTTCTTTCGATCGGGTTTCTTTCTAATTATATTTTAATCTTTACTTTAATCTTTAACATTTAAAGCACAACTTTGAAGCTTTTAATATAAAATTGATTGAATTGAAAACATATTTTAACGATTAAGGTCTTTCGATAGATGGCAATCCAAATTGACCGATCTTTCCGAAAGTTGCGCATATGAATGTATGTGTGCACATGTATACAGCCTGCAATTCTTGCAATTTTTTCTAGCTCCGCAGCCACGTTTTCTTTATTAACTACTGTGTTTCTTAGCCGATCTAAATGAAATTTTCAACAGTAGATCTGATTGTGCTTTAGAATATTCTTATATTCTTCAAAAATGAATAGCATCAAAGTTGTGGCTTAAATTAGTGGGTAGCTCCAATTGATTGGTTTGTTTGATTAATAGCTGTAGGGTGGAGGCGGGGTTAGCTATAAAATGAAACACACTTGGTCTGTATACACTATTCTAGAAGTTACAGGTCAAATTTGGTGACTCTAGCTCTTAAAACCTTAAATATTTGCTTAAAAAACAGGTTTTCGATATGGATTCGAATCGATTGCTTGGAAACGGGCAAAGTTATCGATTATCGGCAATAAACTTGTACTGTGCGGGGAGGACCTACGCTCAATATTTCAAGAGTCTAGCTCTAATAAGATCTGAGATCAACGCGGTAATACTTATGGACAGATGGGCAGACAGACGGACATGGCTAGATCGATTCGGCTATTGGTGCTGATCTTTATGGGGTCGGAGATGTTTCCTTCTGCCTGTTACATACATTTTCACAAGACCAGAATACCCTTTATAGTCTTTTTTAATAGGCTCAGGGCATAAAAAACAGCCCAAGACAAATAAAGTCCAAATTTAACTTAAAGCTAACAAACTTTTAGATGTGCAAAGACTTTTAATAGTTAAATACCCTTTGAGAATACACAGATTTTAATCGATTTTGCAGAGAATCAACCAACCTTTGACTAGTTTCTGGCTTGATTTTCCTGCATACTGATTACACATAGACACATACACATACATTCACGTCTGGCTGTCAGCTAGTAAGCTGCTCTCTGCATCTGCTCGTCAGTCATAAATATTTCATATTTTATTTCATTTTTCAACTCGATTCATATATGAGAAATTATAAGTTTTCACGTAGATGGCAAATCACGCGCTGCTCGCATGACTCGCATTATAATTAACGCCTTAAAGCAAACACTTTGTGGAGAGACTTCCGGGACAGGAGTGAAGATGCACGGACAACTTGCAGTTGCCGTCGTCGTTGTTGCCGTTGTTGTTGTTTTTGACGTGATTTCGATTTAATTTAAATATTCAAATGATTTACTTGAGCCGAGCAAAATGAAGCAGACGTGGCCAGAGCCATAACTCATCCGTCAGTCAGCAGGGCCGGGCGAGGGCACGGCAAATAGGGACAGACATTGTGGGCTGTCCAAACGGATGACCAGGCAAACCATTACACACACGCACGCACACACACGCACACACACACACACACTTGGACTGACATGTTGTCAAAGCCATTTCAGTTTCGGCTCAGCCAATTTCCTTATTTGCGCAAATGTTTCAATGACCGGAAAATTACACATTATTATTTGTCTAATGCGAGATTGCAAGACACACACAGACACACACACACACACACACACGCACACACACACACACACACACAGAGACACACACGCATACACACACATCTGACCATTATTCATTTTAGTTTAGTTTATATGCTGTTTGTTACAAATCTTTGGATAATTAAAAGCCGTGCCAGCCCCAAAAAGTATGCTCTGCTTTTTATGTCCCCGCTGTGACATCATTAATTTTATGCCCCATGCAACATCAAATCCAGAAAGACAACAACAGCAACACGACTTTGCGATACTCTCACAACTGCTTCTCGGTTACATTGAGCTAATAATGTAAATTATCTGAATCCAGTTTGACATTATGAGCACAGCTTATGGCCAGGACATTTTGTAAAAGTTTTTAGGCTGGGATTTTGCACATGTCATTATACCCCTTGCTACCCTATAAATGCAAAAGATACCGCAAATTGGCAGTGCTTGGCTTTTGTGTCAATAACACAATGGGACAAAATTATATGTATATGGCATGTCATAAACGAGGCAATACAAATGGGCGTGTCGTTGTCTGGGCGAAATGGGGAGGGGGTGGGGGGGGTCGGACATGAATACAATTAACAATATCCGTAGCTAAATACGTGAAATTAAAAGCCATAAAATCAGAAAGTCACGTGCGAAATGTAACAGCAATAACAGCAGCAGCCTCAGCAATTAAAATAATGTCATGAATTACCTATGCGACAGACACTTACACACACACACACACACACACACAGACACGCTGACACACACTGAAACATACACACACACCGAGCAGAAACTTCTTTAACTGCCCATTTTGCCGCAGCAAGT